CGTACATCAATCATATCCTAGAAAAGTTAAAATCTGCAAAATATTTTACCACGTTGGATCTAAAAAATGGATATTGGCAAGTACCACTTTCCGAAGCAAGCAAACCCTTAACCGCTTTCATAGCACCAGGAAAAGGACTATTCCAGTTCAAAGTACTTCCATTCGGATTACACGCCGCCTCCGCTACTTTTCAACGATTACTAGATACAATAATCGGCCCAGAAATGGAACCACATGCATTCGCCTATTTAGACGACATAATAGTACTGGGGAAAACGTTCGAGGAACATATGGAAAACTTAAAAGAAGTACTTCACAGACTACAGCAGGCCAAACTACGAATTAATATAGACAAATGTAAATTCTGCAAAGAAGAGATAAATTATTTAGGCCATGTAGTAAACAAAACGGGAATAAAAGTGGACGAAAACAAGACAAAAGCTATAGTCGAATATCCCGCGCCAAAAACCGTTAAACAACTACGCCGATTTTTGGGCATCATCTCATGGTATAGGAGATTTATAAAAGATTTTTCACGAACTACAGCTCCTTTAACAAAGCTACTAAAGAAAAAACAACATTGGACTTGGGACAGAGACCAAGAGGAAGCATTCAACAAAATAAAATTACTACTGACACAAGCTCCAATACTGATCTGCCCGGACTTCCAGAAAAGATTTTTTTACAATCGGACGCTTCGAACCACGGTTTAGGAGTAGCTTTAGTACAAACAAACGACGAAGGACAGGAACAAGTCATCGCTTACGCAAGTCGAAACCTAACAAAAGCCGAAAAAAATTACAGCGTGACAGAAAAAGAACTACTAGCGATCATCTTCGGTGTAGAAAAGATGAAACCCTACATCGAAGGATACCCATTTTCAATTATCACAGATCATCAAAGTCTACGATACTTACAAACAATGGAAAACCCTACAGGTAGAATAGCTAGATGGGCAATGCTGCTGCAACAATTTGACTTCGATGTCATTTACAGAAAGGGCTCCCAGAACGTCCTGGCCGACGCGCTCTCTAGAGAACCAGTAGATCTGGTTTGCATAATAAACGTAGAAGATGTAGAACCCGACGAATGGTACAATAAAGCTTTAAATAAAATCCAGACAAATCCGCAACTATTTCCAGACTACTCTATCAAAGATGGACTTCTCTATCGACACTTCTGGGACAAATACGATTTAAAAGAGACAGAGGTATCCAACCCCTGGAAACTATGCATCCCAAACCACAAGAGACAACAACTCCTGGCAGAAAACCACGAGCAACCGACCGCAGGACATCTAGGAATAGCTAAAACAATAACCCGCCTAGCTAGAAAATACTACTGGCCAGGGATGTTTAAAGACGCCGCAAAGTTCGTCAGGAACTGCAAGAACTGTCAGCAATTTAAGCCGCAACAAAGCTTAACTCCAGGCCGCATGCAATCTACACAAATTCCCCCACATCCATGGCACACCGTTTCAACCGACATCATAGGACCCCTTCCAACATCCAGCAAAGGAAACAAATATATAATGACATTCCAGGACACCTTTTCAAAATGGGTCGAAGCCATACCGATCAGAACAGCAACGGCAAAATCAGTCTGTCAAAACTTAAAAGATAAAATCATTATGAGATTCGGATCACCCAAAGAGCTAATATCAGACAACGCAAGAACATACGATAACAGGGAAGTACGAAAGTTGCTAGACGAATTCCAGATTTCTAAAAGAAACATTCCGCCATATTCACCCCAGAATAATCCAGTAGAAAGAACAAACAGAGTAATCAAAACAATGATAGCTCAGTTCTGCGATAATAACCATAAGAAATGGGACACGAGCCTTCCAGAACTACTATTCGCATATAATACAGCTAAACACGATTCAACGGGTTTCTCCCCAGCCTTCCTGAACTTTGGACACGAACTAGAAATTCCAAGTAAAGTCGTAAAAACCCCAAACGACACACAACATACCGATCAAAACATAAAATGGCATAAACTACGGGAAACATTCGAACTAGTACGTACAAACCTGGCAAAAGCTTTCACAACTCAAAGCCATTACTACAACTTACGACGAAGAGAGTGGAAACCCACAATAAACGACAAAGTCATGAAAAGGGAATACCAACTCTCAAATGCCGCCAAAAATTTTAACGCCAAATTAGCACCGAAATTTTCAGGCCCATATACTATAACAAAAGTGTGTTCTAATGTAATATTCAAATTAAAACACGACGATAAAAACCGTACAATAACAGCTCATATCAAAGACCTAAAACCCGCATTTACCGATTTCCCTACTCCTTAATCAGTCCAAGCACTTACAGTCAACACCAAGTAGTGACAGTATATTTTAATACAGTTTACCAGTGACCTTCAAATATAATGTCAGACACGTTAGAAATATATTACAGTGACATAGAAATGGACGGCACAGTTACGCCGCCACCATACACCGTTCCAGAGTTAATATCACCATTGGGAAACACACCAAAACCTAACACCCCGGCAAAGGCTGCGAGCCCCTGATAAAGGCTATTGCCAAATTTAAAAACCTTTTCGATGAACCAGCCATGGGCATCACAAAAATTCAGAAAGTCCAGTCAATTCCAGTGTCAATCCCGCTGCTCTCACTAATTCCGCCGCAGCATAAAGGAAAAAAATACAGACTGAGACTCCCGAACCAGGTGCTGAGGATAAAAACCAATAATTGAAGCCCCACGAAGGAAGACGTTTTTTAAGAGAGGGGAAGACGATTTTTTTTTTAAGAAGACGATATTTATTTTTTTAGGGCGGACATTTTTTATTTCGATGTATTGTAAATTGTTTTTTAGGGTAACCAAGTACCTGGCAAGGAATAAAAATAAAAAAATTTTGTTCCAAAATTTTTTTTTCCCCAGGAAGAGGGGGTGTAACGATGAGTCCAAGCCATCACCGTTAAACCAGCGTGCGCGCGAACCAACCCATGAAGTAGGAGTGTATCGACAGTAGAAAGGGCAAAACTTTGCTATATAAACCGCATTATTTCCTCATAGAGGCAGAATCGTCAGGTGTTGACTGAAGGTTCTCTTCTCCCCTACCCCGGCTTGTGGACGTGTTGAGTTCACAAGTTGTTTCCGTTCCATACCGCCAGCCGGAGAGCGTGTTGAGCTCTCCATTACCCGTACTCCGAAGCAGTCGTGTTGAGACTGTCGAGGAGTGTCCTATTAACCCGAATCACTTGAGGGACGTGTTGAGTTTCTTTCTTTCCTTTGTACCTATCGTCCGCTGTTATTAAATCGACACATCGTTCACGTAAAATTCCGAAAACACACTTGATTGCCGATAACACTAATTTCATACGACAAGGTCAAACTTAATTTGAATAAATAGGCCAGGTACTGAGAAGACTAAACTAAATTGTAAATATGTACATAAGATTTTTGTCAATTTAATTTAAGGAAGACAATAAAGTTTTATTTTTATTTTGAACTCTGTCTCTGACTGTCCAAAAGCTACCCGGATAGTGACTCCTACGAGAGGACGTCACAGTTTAATTGTATTCATGATTTCTTTCACCTTTCCGATTCTTTGGATTACCTCTATTCTTTGGAAACCTCATTTCACTGTTGGTGACATGTTCGGTCCAGGATATACGAAGAACGCGTCGGTACACCCACATTTCGAATGCTTCTAGTTTTCTCGTAAGCGTCTCTGCCAGCGTCCAGGCTTCCACACCATACAGTAAGATCGGAAAAATGTAGCATTTAACCAGACGTAGTTTTAGGGGAAGAGACAAATCCTTGCTTATGAGGAGCTTTTTCATATTGCTAATGCTGCTCTAGCTCGTTCTATTCTCGCCTTAATTTCTGTGACCTGTTCCCATTTTGCATTTACATTGGTGCCAAGGTACACATAAGATTCTACATGGTCAATTAGTATGTTACTTATCCGTAATTGTCGAGCAGGTTGTTGCTTTTTGCTTATGTAATTATTGATTTAAATAAATCAAACACATATTGTTTATTTCTAATGTAATTTTTGATCCTATCTTCTTCTTCTTCAAGTGCCGTCTTCGTTCCGAAGTTTGGCTATCATCAAAGCTATGCGTATTTTTGATGCTGCAGATCTAAACAGTTGGTAATTGGTGCAATTGTACCATTCTCTCAAGTTTTTCAACCATGAATGCCTTCTTCTTCCTATAGATCTCTTTCCCATTATCTTTCCCTGTATAATCAATTGCAGCAACTGGTATTTATCTCCCCTCATAACATGTCCCAAATATTGTAGTTTGCGCTTTTTAACAGTAAGTATCAGCTCTTTCTCTTTCCGCACTCTCCGCAAAACCTCCACATTTGTTACTTTCTCTGTCCAGGGTATTCTTAATATTCTACGATACATCCACAACTCAAATGCTTCTATCTTTTTTTGATTCTATCTATTGTACATTTAATAAGAAATTAAATAAGTCAACATTTGTATTTTAACTTGTATATAAACAGATTGTATAGTATTTATAAAGTGAGTTGAAACACCCAAAAAACTGGTTGCCGACAAACATTAAAAGAATAATATCATATTACCAGACATGGGCGCATCATTTATTTTTATAATCAAATATAGATTAATGTAGAACAGAAAAAGGACAATTTTAATTTACTTAAAGCTGTCGTAAAGTACATAAGTGTATAAAAAAGATTTTAACATGTCATATTATGCAACAAAAAAGATATATATATATATATATATATATATATATATATAAGATTTTAACATGTCATATTAAGCAACAAAAATAATTTATAATTATATGGCAATATGCCATATTGACAGTATAATGATTTAATTATACTTCGTAAAATAATAAACATTTTAGCTGTACAGCACTGGCATGAATCAATAGCATTTCTTATCTGTACCCATCGCCGCCGGCTAGAAGGGAACCTCCAAGTAGCGTGTTAAATATTGGTGATTTTGAATAACATATCAATGTGCAATATTTATTTCAACAAACAGAAATCAACATTTCCTTTATTTTTAAGGTTTATATCTAATCACAGGGAATATAGAAATCATTACAAATAATAACTGATCAAAAATATATTTCCTGATAAAACAAAAATAAATGAGTGGCAAAGCTTAAATCTAAAAAGAAAACTTACATTTATTTTAAATTTGCTCCTGCTTATAGATTGTTCATTATTTGCTGTAAAATATCTTGTTCTTGAGGTTCAATAGCATTATTATCATTAGTCTGATTGGTTTCGTCTGAAATGTCATCTTCATGACACAAACGCCTACATAATTCTATTGTTTTTTCTATATTAATATTTTTTTCAAATTCTTTTCTTTTTTCAAGAATGCTGTCCTCATTTTCATCATAAATTGTTAAAAATTTCATTTCTGCCAAAATTTCTACTGCTTCATTTCTAAATGGAATATGAAGGGTGACCATTTCTCTTTTATAATTAATTAAATCGGTGTCATCGTAATTTTTATATCTTATAACATGAGGAATTTGTCGAATTTTAAAACTACCGTTTTTACTTAGATTGTAATTAGCTACAAACTGGGCCAAAGTAACTTCATCCAACGATTCTGGTCGTTTTTCGTATTTGTCGAACCAGTTTTCTTTCCATATATCAGTCGATTCGACATCAAGTGCCTCCAATTCTTTTTGCGTCTTCCGTATTCGTTCTCTTTCTTCTGGCCAACAAGTTGGTATAAAATCTACAGTAACAGAGCATTTTGACATGGGCTCTCGCAACAAAAACCAAGCTGCCTCTTGACTTGTCATTTCTACAGAATTTAGTAACGATACACCTAATTTATTTGTTACTTGAACCATATCTAATTCTGGATTTTCATCCATAATTTCGATAATTTGTTGCTGTAGATTACTGATACCTCTGTTAGTTTTATTGACATAATCTGCAACGTATTGAGCACATGAATATTCGTCTGGGATTATTTCAAAGTCCATATTAGATTTTAGGATATTAAAAACGAATGGATTAAAAGGAGTGTTCCATTTTTCTCTCGGTGACCTTTTTACGAATATTTTTGGTCGTGCAATTCCAGCTCTAAGAATATCATTATAATGTTCATCTGAATTGATATTATTTTTTTCGTAAAAATCATCGATATCTTTAAAATCTGAGTTCTCTAAATTGCTACGAATATCTTTGTAATGCGCTTGATATACTTTGAGATTAGAGTTTTCTTCCTCCATCGGTGTAAGAATTACTGTAGTACGACTTGGCATAAAAGGAGCATCAAATCTACATTTTTGTCTATAATTAGGTGTTATTCTCTGCAATTTAATATTACCGGATGCTTCAGATGCTGAAACAGAAACCAACTTGTCAATCATGGTAATTGCTTTAGCCTTGTCTTTTCCAATAACATCATCTAAATTTTCTTCAGTCCACAACAGAATATGCGCACGAGGACTGTCTCTGTGCTGAAATTCAATTCTTTTAAAGTAGTATTTTACTCTATATTTTCCAAAAGGGCTAAACGGCCTAGATTGAAGAGTAGACATAATTACATTTACTAATTTACTGAAATATATTGCACAGGTTACTAGATCCTCATTCACGAGTGTAGTCTTTTCAATATAATGTAAAGCCCAAATTTGATCGTCTGTAAGTACTTCACCTTGATGTTTCAATTTATATAGTGTTCTTAGCAATTCTTCCCAACCAATTTCATTTGCAGTTAAAGTCATGAATGCGGATGGCCTACCAAGTTGACGTATCATTCCAAAAAGACATTTTTTACGTTCAGCCCAATATGCAGCTGAATTTGGTAAACAACGTGTGAAAGCTAAGTTAGTTTCGAGACACTTATTAATATACTCCCGATTCATAATTTGCTCACGAGTAATCGCATTATCTTTACCAATATGTTTAAATGTAATAGTTAAAGAATCGCGCACTCGTAACCGCATAATTTTCATGGCGACGTACAGCAAATGATACGGCATTACTCCTCGTCTATCTCTACGTCTCAATTCACTTGAAGCTATATTGAAAGGGGTAGCTTTAATATTTTCTTTAAATTTTCGAAATTCTCCCAGATAAATGCTAGGAAAAGAAAGCTCTTCAGCATGTTCTTCGAATAACAAACTGTCCGGGATATTATTTTCACCTGGAGCCAAATTTAATTGAAAATCTTCATTCCATAGTAAAGTTTGCTGTTGCGCAACTAGACTTTCTTCAACTTCAATATTTTCACTCACGTCTTCCAAATTGAAATCCTCATCAATGGTATTATCATTTAAAAATCGATTAATAATTTTAATGTTATAGAATTTATAAAGTGGCGTATTAACCAAATATCGTAACCAATCCTTTATCACTGACTTCTTAACCAGGCCTTGAAGATAACTAGATGTATCAATTAGTTTTCTTTTAATATGTATGTTGATGCAATAATCATCATCAATATCTCTAGGTAAACTTGTAACCATATTATTGACAGATACAGGTATGTTAATAACCTGCCCATAAATACCACATTGGCCTTGAAGGTGTCGCAACCTTCTTATCTGCATAAAGGGCAGTCTTGGCGAAATTAGCCTTTCTGAAATAAGGTCTAGTTTTGGCAAATCACATGGTACATCTGGATACTTGAAACCATTAATAACTGCGAGGTCTGGAATATTGTTCTTTTTTATAGCTGTACTGCATGTAGTGCATACTTTCACTTCCTTTAAATTTATGAAGTTCTGGAATAAAAAAAGTATTCAAAGTTACAATTATTAGTACTATAATAACATGTATATGACGAATCTGTGTCTGTTTTGGATTATCGCTAAAGAGTCCACTCCACTTACAGGATAAGTAGTACAAAAGTAAATTCTATAGAAAAATTTACACTTACACTCCCACATGAAAATAGAGACGGTGATTCTGTTAAGAACCGATTTTAAAACTGCCAACGGTTGGGAAATCATATAATTGCAGCGGCATGGTTATTTCATTATTTTTTTAGAATTGAATTATTTTAATAAAAATTAATTCTATCATTATGTCTCTGTTATCTCTGTTAATGCCTTTGTCGTTATGTGAATGTCCATAATTATCATAATGGATGTGAAGTTCATCTAGACTCTGGAAATCGCCTATACTATACAGGGAAAATAGACAAAACATATGGTGGAGTAGGATTTCCTACCAAAAAGTATTTCACACCATAGATTTCTACATATAAAAGCGTTTCTGATAGAGTAGCTTATATTATAATAAGTATCATGGACGCAGTTTGGATTCCGCGATTCCTTAGGCACCCGAGAGGCTCTATTCGCTGTCCAAGTGCTTATGCAAAGATGCAGGGATGTTAACTGCGATGTGTATATTTGTTTTATCGACTACAAAAAGGCATTTGATAGAGTAAAACATGACAAACTTATAAACATCTTGAAAGAAGTGGGGTTAGATGATAAGGACTTGAAATCATCTATAATTTATATTACAACCAAACAGCCAATATTAAAGTAAATGATCAATTGACAGAGGCAGTCTCCATAGATAGAGGAGTGAGGCAAGGATGCATTCTGTCCCCGGTGTTATTTAATATATACTCTGAATATATCTTCGAGCAAGCGCTGGGAGAACTACTAGAAGGCGTATTAGTCAACGGAATGCGTCTAAACAACATTAGATATGCCAACGACGCAGTAGTTTTTGCAGATAGTCTGGACGGTTTGCAAAGAATAATGTCGCGTATATCAGATATAAGTAGAGAACACGGACTTGATCTTAATACGAAGAAAACAAAGTACATGGTAGTCAGTAAGCACGAAATATTAAATACACAGCTTTTGGTTAACCAACATCCAATTGACACAGTGGAAAGATACACATACCTTGGTACCAACATTAACAGCCAATGGGATCACTCCAGTCAAATAAAACAACGCATAGGAAAAGCGAGATCAGCGTTCATAATGATGAAATCTCTTTTCAGAAGTCATGATTTACTACTTGCTACAAAAATCTCTCTCATTAGATGCTATGTATTTTCTATCTTATTATACGGAGTAGAGGCCTGGACACTTTCAGAAGCTTGCTTAAGAAAACTCGAGGCATTCGAGATGTGGTGTTACAGACGTATCTTAAGAATTTCATGGGTGGATCGTGTGACTAATATTGAGGTCCTACGTAGAATAGGCAAGGAATGCGAGATTATTAACACCATCAAAGAGCGCAAACTAGAATATCTTGGCCATGTTATGAGGAATGAACAGAGATACGGCTTGTTGCATCTCATTCTTCAGGGCAACGTATTTGGAAAGAGAGGACCAGGGAGAAGAAGAATATCTTGACTTCAAAACCTGAGAAAGTGGTTTAATACACCGACAACCGGACTATTCAGAATAGCAGCAAGCAAAGTTAGGATAGCCATGTTGATCGCCAACATCCGGAACAGATAGGCACTGTAAGAAGAAGAAGAAGAATATTATAATAGACCTAGATAATTAAAGCAAGATCAAGATTATACAAGTGTATGCTACTACAACAACACACCAGGAAGAGGTAGTTGAAATCTTCTACGAAGATGTGATATCATTAGAAGAAAATGATCCAAAGTATATCGTCATTATGGGAGATTTCAACGAAAAATTATGTAAAAAAGAAGAAAATACTGAAACTAACATAGGAATGCATGGTTATGGCATACGAAATGAAAGAGGAGAAAAATTATATAACTTCTTAGAACAACAAAATTTATATGCCTTGATTACATTTCAAGAAACCAGCCCATCTCCCGATAAAAAGACGAAAAACGAGATCGATTTTCTTGTGTGGGAACAAAGACATTTTTGAAGATATAACTGCTCTCAATCGATTCACAACTGGCAACGATCATCGCCTTTTAAGAGTAAGGCTTCTTGTTAAACAGACGAAAACCAGTAGAAACAGGCCAAATAACTATTGTAATCAAATGGATCAAACTAAAATGCGACGGAAGGGAGATGAGTAGAGAGAAGTCTTAAGAAGATAATTTGTAGAACATTATCAACAAGAATATTCCGACTTGATCACAATAAAGAAATGCAACGAAAGCTCTTGAAAGCAGAACTTATTGTTGTAAAGAAAACGAAAAATAAAGAAGACTTGAATTGAATAAACAAATAAAGAAGGGAGTAAAGGAAGATTTAAGGATCTACAATGAAAACAAGGTAGAAAAAATAATAGAAAAGAACCGAGGCCTAAAATGCTTAAGATAAAACTTAGGACAGCCCATAATAATCTCATTAAAGGATAAAGATGGAAAAGAAATAAGAGAAAAGAACGAAATTCTAAAAGTTACTCAAATATTTTACCGTGATTTATATTCCTCAAACAATAACCCAGATAACACTGCAATAGAAGATCTTAAGAGAAAGATAACAAATGTCAACTCAGAAATACTCCCTAACATAGAATCCTTCGAAATAAAACAAACTCGCACAACTAAAGTTCAATAAGGCTCCGAGTCCAGATAGAATACTTGTAAAAATATTGAAGGAGCGGAATTAAATTATTCTCGAAGAATTGAAAACAATTTTCAACGAATGTCTTCACAGAGGAGAAGTCCCAGGTGATTGGCATGAAAGTTTGACAATACTTCTCTTAAAAAAGGGGGAGCTCTGAAGAACTATAGGCCAATCTCCCTGCTGTCCCAAATGTACAAATTGTTTGTGAGAGTAATAACTAATAGGTTACCGTCGAATGTCGATAGCTATCAACCGGTAGAGAAAAAGCATTCGACTTCATAAAACTTTGGGCAATAGAGAGAGCTATGAACAACTGCATTATAGACTCCCAATACAGAATGCTCATACATAATATTTACAAGAAAGCTACAATGAAAATACAAATACATGCGAAAACCAAAGCTATACCAATCAACCGAGGAGTTCGCCAGGAGATGTTATCTCACCAAAGCTATTCACACTTGGACTGGAACACATGTTTAAAGACATTGGGTGGAATGCATAAATCGTAGTATCTGCTAATGCTTCAAGTAATTCTACATTTTTGTAGTACTTGCTACACTTACAAAGCATTTTGCTTTCATCCGTAGTATTTACATAGAAGGATGTACTACGCTTTTGAAGTATTTGCTAGTTTAATAGAATTTGCTTCAGTTTACGTGAAGTTGGTAGATAAACAACTTCGGCTTAGGTGTTTTTTGTTATGTTTGTTTAATGGCAGCATTTATGAATGTTCGTCGTAGAAAAATCTACAAACCAGGAAGAATATACAATGACGATATTTATCGTAAAATATTCAGGTAATTATCATGAATCGTGCAGTTTTATTCATACAGTGCGCTGAAATAAGTGTAACTCCCCATATTAACTCATGTATTTTTAGTATATAAGCAAAACACTCGAAGAGGTCGATTTTTAAAATAATCATAGTATATTATAGCATCAATGTTTCGAACTTTAAGCAATCTTTCTTCAGGTGACAGTCAAGACTTATTTTAGCTTACTGCATATGTATATATATTTATAATCTATGTCTAATGAGTGTAGAGTAATAAAATCTCATGAAGTATTCAAAAGCGCTACAGGGTAATCCGTCAATAATCCGTCAATAAATTCCGTCCGCATTGCAAAATTCTGTCGTTTCATAAAGAGCAGGTAGGTATCACCTTGTTTTAAGGGATTAGTCCATTGTTATCGACAGATAAACACTGAGCCAGAGGCGCGCTAGTGGGTTAATTGGCAAAAGAATATGCATTCTTAAAAATCATATTAAAGGAAATAAAAATGTAATACAGCAGAACAGTGTTATTAAAAAAATATAAAATGTAACAATAAAATATATACGAACCGAAATCGGGAAATACTCACAAACACACACGAATGAACTTTACATATTGAAACACTTGTGGGGAGTTTAAATCAATTTATTCACAAAAACTACAAAAACTTTACTGGATACGTTATTACAATTCTACATCACTATAGTCTTCATCCGAAGAACTGTCATCATCCCCTGGTGTTATAATTATAGGGTCAACCACCTTATCGACCAAGTTGTCCAGTTCCCACATTTTATCTTCCTCTTTTAAAACATGCTGGATTGCTTTTTGCCAGTTTTCTGATGTGATTTCCATAATGGCTTGATCAAACAATACCTTGACATCTTTCATTTTAAATGTGGTATTGTGCCTTGCAACATATCCTTTAACTTGTGCCCATATAAGTTCTATGGGATTTAATTCGCAATGATATGACGGTAGGCGTAGCACAGTTACTTTATACTTTTCTGCTACATCTTCTACGGCATATTTTATGAAGCGAGATTTATGTTGTTTTACTACGGCTAGTAGTTCCTTCTTTATTGAATTCGTCTCAAACTGAATACCTTTATTTGACAGCCAGTTAATAATTTCTTGCTTTCTCCAAGCTGAAGTTGGTACCTTCTCTATGCGCCTTGAATGGTAGCTTGCATTATCCATAACCACGACCGAATCAGCTGGAAGAAATTTTAACATTTCCCCGAAGTAGTCTTCGAAGACATCCGAATTCATGTCCTCATGATAATCTCCCGTCCGACACGACTCAAAGCTTAACAAACCTTCTTTTAAAAATCCTTCTTCGCTTCCAATGTGAGCAATTATAAGCCTCTTCCCTTTTCCCGAAGGCACTTTAATACCCGTCGAAAGGCCTTCTATGAAAGCTTGGCGAGCACTTGTTACATTTTTATCTTGACACATTTTTTGGAC